TCTTTGCCCAATAATAAATCAACAGATTTTTGTTTTCAAATTTGTTGCCACAATATAATCACAAACAGTATATATTCACACTAATAAAAAATGTCGCATATGTCGTATTGTGCGACCTAACATAAGATATATAAAAGTGCGATACGAGCTGTTCGTTCCTATGAATTTCTCTTCAAGCGAACTTGCGACACTCAGTTTAACATGAATTATTAGTACCTACTCTTGGAGCACAAGACGATAAGATCCTCAGATCCAGCCGTCTCGATTTGATTTGATTCTGATCAGACCACATTGAGATAGTCCAATCTTGATCATAGATCGATCTCTCAACATGTTATAGATTTGAAGGTTAGCGCTGAAATAATCTACAAAAAAGAATATACGAAAATGCATAAGTTCAGCATGTTTGGTCGCCTTGGTTATATGCCGTTGTATGGGCAAAACAAGACGGCGAATGAATGATAACCCAATAGATCAGGATACATTCCGACTACGCCACATTTTCATGATGCAGTCTACAACACATTTTATTTTAGTATGTTGACTGAGCACAATATAAGAATTCAAGTTTATCTCTGATGGAAAATATTTCATATTGTTTTGTATTTGTTTACAAAATGAAGATCATAGCAGAAATCGATCTCATTTGTGTTACTCAGATGCTTTGCTATGGTGTCTTTACGGCCAATATTAGATGATGGCATATAGCCACATGTTTGCCGTATTTACACCATATCCCCACCGTATACAGTCACATTGTAAACATTTCTAAAAAAAAATAAGAATGTTTCTGAAAAACCTCTGTTTAGATCATGAAAAATTTTGAAGTATTATTGTTACATCAAAAAAGTGAATGCTCTAGAGAACTGATTCTTGAACAGTTGTTTGATTTTAACAATTTTTTCAATATGATGCTAAGTATACTTAGGCTGTAGGTTTTTGTGGCATTAGAAGATTGTGAATCAATGAGCATGGAGAGACAAAATGAGCGTAATGTAATGAACAGTATTGAATTGATTTTAGTGCATTTTTATTGATTTAAACACATCAACTTGATAGACGTACAGCGATAATCGGTAGTAAAATGCTCTTGATGAAATACAATCACACCGTAAAAAAGAAAGAAAGGAAGAAGAATACAATATACTTTTCTTCAGTAGTCCTTTATTTGTATAGTCTATCGTCACGCTGTTACTCACTGTACAGACACGAATGAAAGAAAAAAACGATGGCAACAATAATAAAATTTGCATTAGTGTATGTTTTTATTTCGTTAGTTTGTTTCTTGTTAATGCACTTTTTTTTGTTGATCTTTTCCGTTTGTCACAGTTACATTTCGAGAAAAAAACCCAAAATAATTATGCAATCAATATAACGGCGAATAGTTTTTTCGTGGAACAAGCTTTTGTGTTTGTGAAAAGACATCCGGCATGCACTACAATGATGATGTTTGTTTTCTTACTTTTGAATTAAGAAAAAAACAGCATTCATGTTATCAATATTTCTGCCAATTTTAGTTACAAAATTCAAGGGATACTTTTCATTATTTGTCAATTTTATGTAAGCATATATGACTCTCTTTCGTATGTATGCAAAACAGAATTCATTTTGTCGATAAGTTTTATAATCACATTTTGCGACAATAATATTCATTGTTCTCAATTAAAACATATGTTCTAATGTTTTTTATCGAAATATATTTATTATAAACACATAGTTTTAGTGATGCACATATGTACAGTACAAAAGTTTTCTCATTGTTATTGTGATGCATGTTAAAATTGAGCGAACCCCGAATGTAAACAAATAAAATTTGAATATTATTTCTTTGTGAATTGTAGAAAGTAATGAAAGATCAGCAATTAAAATAACAAAAGAAAACAACATTTCTTTTTATTTTACATATATTTTGAATGAATGTAATAGAAATCAAAAATCATGTCAGCAAGTGTAGGGATGGGATGCATTTATACTGCTAGTTGCACTAACGCATGTACACTCTGAGAATGAAATTGCTCGCATTGAAAAAGATATAAATTTAGCAGTACCAGTCTCAATCCAGTTCAAATATCAATGAAACTTTCGTATTCATACATGGCTCCGACGATTAAAAGCAAACTATAAATTTTTATATTTAATTTTCATTCAAATGACAACTATCTTATCGAATAGCAAAGAGAGCAATGGTCAATTTTATTCTGAATATTGGTTCGAACTCGAATTAGAGCTGTTTAGTACATGACACGACTAATGTTCGTAACTGCAATTATGAGACAAAACTTTTGGTTGCTTACTGTGTCTATACAAAAAGTCCTTATTGAACTATTTCATTCATTTTTGGAATTTAAAACAGGTACTTCAAGATTTAATTATATTCGAAATCTAATTAAGCAATTCGTAATTACTCTAGTAACCACAGAACACAAAACATATCGCTAAGCATTAAGCACAATGTGAATAGTTTTTTCCTATCCGAATAATTGGTTAATGATGTGCAGTATATTTTGCAAGCAGAAACTGTTGTTCGATTGTTGCTTCAATCAAAATTGAATTTACTTTTCTTGTTATTTCATGCACATGATGACAATGTCAATCATATACAAAATAAGAAATCAAACTGACAATGTCTTTGTTGTTTTTTGTCGTTCTTATCAGAACGAGAAAAAAAAGACAAAGTATCCAATGTATTGACACTCAAGTGAGTTTTGTAGAAGAAAAGCAAACGAAAGTTGGAAAGAATAATCATAAAACAAATGAAGTTGTTGGATTTTTCTTTTTCGTTTGTTCTCTATAACCCCATTTTCCATTGCAAATAGGTGAAGTTCGTTGTTGAGTGTCAATAAAGAAAAAGATTCACATTTGACGACGTAGAAAAGTCTCGAAAAAAAAACCGTGGACATCGAATATATAAATAGAAAAGGGTGATCACTGTCCAAACGACAATTTATCATTCACAATACACGATTATCGATCGAAGAACAATAGTTATCTTCAAAATGAGTGGACAACGAAGACAACGCATGACTGAAAATTACATGGTCATCTGGGTCGATGGAAACATTAATCCAACAAATGAAGACTGTCAAAACACACTCGTACAATTGCGCAGTGTCGTCAACGAGGTGAATTCTTGCACCACAGCGGAAGAATGTATTCAATGCCTCAATGAAAACGATGAGCAGATATCATTCGTTATCTCCTCTGGTTCAATAGGGCAACACCTCATACCAGACATTCATGACATGCCAAAACTAGGTGCCATATACATCTTTTGTGATAACAAACAACGTCATGAAGCGTGGGCCAAAAATTGGACAAAAATTGAAGGTGTACATACATCAATCAAGCCCATCTGTGAAGCATTGCAAACAGCTGTCAAGCAATACAATCAAGATAACATATCGATCAGTATTGTCAGTGTGAATGAGGAAGATTCTAGGGAAAATCTCAATCAGCTAGAACCTTCTTTCATGTATACCCAAATATTCAAGGAAATCCTTCTTGATATGAAACATGGACAAGAAGCCGTCAAAGATTTAGTCACATTTTGCCAAGAAGAATATCGAAACAATACCAAAGAAATGAACGTTATCAATGAATTTGAACGTACTTATCGTTCATCAGAGGCCATTTGGTGGTATACACGTCAGTGCTTCACGTACAAAATGCTCAATACGGCATTACGAACACTCGATGGTGACATCATTATAAGAATGGGATTTTTTCTTTGTGATGTGCACCGACAAATTGAAGACTTACACAACAAACAGGTCAGTCTGTATCATGGCAAAACCTTTCTAGTCTTTCGAGGACAAAGACTATTGACAGTAGACTTCGAAAAACTCGAAAAAAATAATGGTGGACTTATATCATTCAATAGCTTTTTATCCACCAGTAAAAATCGAGGTATCTCCCTCGAATTTGCTAAAGATGCATTAGTAACAACCGGTATGGTCGGTATTCTTTTTCAAATGACCATAGACCCCACGATCTCATCGACACCTTTTGCATCCATTCGGGAGGTCACTTATTACAAACAAGAAGATGAAATCCTCTTCTCCATGCACACCATTTTTCGAATTCTTGACATTCGTCAGCTTGACAAAAATCGTCCACTTTATCAAGTGGATCTTCAACTTACGTCTGATGACGATCAACAACTCCGTCGATTAACCGACTGCATACGAGAAGAAGTTGTAGATGGAACTAGATGGGAACGATTGGGTACATTGCTACTCAAAATAGGTCAATTCGGCAAAGCTGAAGAATTGTATATGGCACTACTACAACAGACCTCTGCCGACAGTGATAAAGCATTTATCTATAATCAGCTTGGATGGGTGAAACAACACCAAGGGCTATACAAAGAAGCAGTTTCGTTTTATGAAAAGTCCCTCGAAATCAAACAAAAAAACTTCGCGGAAGATGATCTCGATTTGGGTGCTTCCTATAATAACATCGGTCTAGTATATAAAAACATGAATGATTACTCGAAAGCACTTGAATTTTACAAAAAAGCACATAAAATAGCAGAAAAAGCTCTGCCTTCAAATCATCCTGATTTGGCTACTTCCTACAGCAACATCGGTGGAGTGTATATTGATATGGGTGACTACTCGAAGGCATTTGAATTTTACGAAAAAGCACTTAAAATAAAAGAAAAAACTCTGCCTCCGAATCATCCTGATTTGGCTACTTCCTACAGCAACATTGGTGGAGTGTATAACGACATGGGTGACTACTCGAAAGCACTTGAATTTTACGAAAAAGCACTTAAAATAACAGAAAAAGCTCTGCCTTCGAATCATCCTAATTTTGCTACGTCCTACAACAACATCGGTGTAGTATATAAAAAAATGGGTAACTACTCGAAAGCACTTGAATTTTATGATAAAGCACTTAAAATAAGCGAAATAGCTCTACCTCCGAATCATCCCTCATTGGCTTTTTCCTACAACAACATCGGCACGGCGTATTGCAGCAAGGGTGATTACTCGAAAGCACTTTCATTTCTAGAAAAGGCGCTTTCTATCCGACAAAAATCACTTCCACCAACACATCCTGATATTAAACGTGCGATGGATAATATTAACTATGTAAAAAAGAAGATATAAATTTGTTTCTTTTTGTTCTTGCTGGCTCAATAAACTTTTTCTGATTGAAATTCATTCCCTCCGTTTTTTCTCGACCTTCTATCACGCTCACATGCATGCGACCAGGGACACTCATCGTGATTCTGAATAGGGTATACACAGAGCGGATCATACTGGACTGGTAGAGCAATGACTGTAGGTATGACGCACAATAACGATGTTAGAGATCGTACGATCATAGTAGACCTTTCTGAGTACCACACTGCTTTCATCATAGCAGGCACATTGAATCTCTGTGGTCAGACTACGAAGCTACCTAACGAGCTATGATATAAGATGGTAACTCTCCCTACTACACAATAACATGGCTATAAACGAAATCAAGTTAATATTAAGAAATTTTTTTTCTACTTTTTATTATGAAAAATAGCTTACTACTCTTGTCTACCAAACAAAAAAAATAATTATTAGATAAAGCTTTATTAATAAGAGAGTTATATGCATTTCTTAAGTGATCATGATTTTTGGGACATCCTGTAGATGAACTTATTATATCTTAAGAGTGAAGTGATAATTGAGTGGGAACACACGAATTGTCATAGCTAGAAACTGATAGCACACCATTTACTTCCGGTTTCGGAAGGAAAATAAAACGAAACGTTATACCGGGAAAATTACGAACATGCTTGAAAAGGTACACAGCAGCTAGTATTCAAATTTGAAACAGTTATGTGAATTGATTTCGACGTTATTTCAATTGAAATGAAGTGAAGAACAGAAATAGATTATGGTACTTTCGAATGTTATATTTTCAATATGTTCAACAAGATTAAATATGAGATAATGAAAAAATCTGAATCAATCTGTAGAAAAGACTATACATGGGTTAAAAAATGCAAAAAAAAACAAGGAATGGCTGTATTACTTGATGAGATAACTTTTTGTTAAATGAATAGTTTTATTATAATATAAAGAGATCAATAATGAATGTTTTTAGAGATTAATTTTACTGAACGAAGAATGATTTTGACCAAAAGAGAAAAAAAACCAAATATGCAAACAACAATATGTAAACAAAAACTTCATATTATACTCCAATAGGATTTTGTTAGAATACTCTATGACTAATGTTGAAGACGGAGCATAATTCAGTGTATCTGTCATCGAACAACATCCGAAAAGATCGACCAAATCCATTGTCTTATGAATGACGACCCTCATATTACAATTGACAAATTTCAAGAGCAAATTAAGCTGAATTATGATGCTATACAATGAGTAATGTCCGATCATCGTAAACTTAAATATTACGACTAATTATAGATCGTAACAGCTGACCTGAAGAATGATCATGAAAGATATCGTCTGAATTACAAGTTTGGTAGGTCGTTCATCGTCTTCTCGACTTTCATGAAACTATTTATATCATCTTTTAACTGTTCTACGACGTGGAATCTGACCACTGAAAGACAAAATATAGTTTGTCTTGAATTACTCTCGCTTGAATATACATAGTACAGTATGGGAGTTATTGCAGAAGCGAAAGTTGTTCTTATCTAACAAAATCATAGGTGAACAACTTTGATCGAAATTCTTCTATTATCATGCTAATTGAACAATGGTAAAATATTATAAAACTATTCAACTATAGTAGATAATTTTATCTGACAATCATCTGGTTTTCGTCAGATTACAACCTATAGTCTCTAATATACTAGCAAAATTTTTCAGATCCATTGATCTGTTTAGCTTTCATTGACGATACAATCACAGCATGCCATTTTTCATTCTTCCAAAAGTATCCAACTTCTGATTTTTTGTAAACTATTGTGCGCCTGTTCTGAGTCGAAATTTTCGTTATGATACACAATTCAATAGAACAATTTGCGCTCTACTTAATTCCCATAATGTTTAGCTAATTCTATTGTTCAATATATCATTAGCAAGAACACTACAAATTGCATCAGATATTCTATCTATCACAGATAGACGTTCTTGTACTGTCCTATTCATGCATCGAAGAAGGTAAATTTTGTTTTAACAGCATGAGTTTATAGGGAATCTTTTATCGTAGGAAATTCTTATATTTGAAATCAAAACAAATCATATTACTTATGTTATATACGTTTGTTATGCCATGAATAGTAGCAGTTAATTATAGTGTGCAAAAGATAGAGGTAATATCACTGTTTTGTGGAACTTACTAAAGATGAATAAAAAAAACTCATATGGAAGATTCGAAAACGTTTCTATCATTTCGAGACATCAATCTCTCTGACAAAGTTCGAATGAGTTTCTAGCAACTCACCGTTCTCTAGATCATCACGATACAAAGTACAAATTTTGTTATAGCAAAAAATACACAAAATATGGAGGCCAAATGCGTACGCGACAAACTACAGAAATGTTCTACTTTGCACCGCATTAAAAATGGCTAAAATAACTTATTGATGTATGATAACCGTCATGTTCATCACTGCCAAAAGTCAACATAGAAGTTTGAAAGACTTTAGAAAAAAAAAAGTTATTTTCTTTAGTACGAGATTTCAGAAAAATCTTTATAATATCCTTAAATCTCATCATAAAATCAATAAATTATAATGCATTCAAGAGTAGACACTTTACTCTATCTAACGAGTTAATTTATCTTATGATAATCAATATTTAACTTTAGAAGAAAATCTTTTAATCATAATTCAATGATTCTTTTCGATTATCACCAAAGTATGTTTCTTTATATCAACAACGATCTTCTTTTTTTTTTAATTCGTGAACAATAGATACACACAAACATTGTTGGTACAAAAAAGAAACTGATTGATGACAATGATGTTATGTGTGTTAACAATTGATTGAATCTAATCGAATAAACCGAAGCCCTAAAAAAAAACGTGAAAGAAAATAAATAATATAAATATCTTTAATCATATATAAAAAGTAAGTCATACCATTTCTTCGTCTTCCGATTCTTCTTTTTCAGGTTTCTTTTCTTCTTTCTTGGGAGCTTCTTTTCCACCAGCAGCTTTCTTATCATCAGCAGCAGCTGTTGTTGCAGCAGCCGGTGCAGCAACAGCACCAGCTGCTGGAGCTGAACCAAAACTTTTAAGTAGATCTGTTATTTTAACACCTTCTACTGCACTAGCGAAAAGACTAGGCCAATATGAATCGATTTCATAATTAGCAGCTTTTAATATTGCTGTAATTTTATCGCCTTTGACATCAATATTATCATCAGCTAAGATAAGTGCTGCATAAACACAGGCAAGTTCGTCATTGCTTAAGGCCATTGTTTATTATTATTGTTTGTTTTATTGATAAACTTAAATGAGAATTTAATCTAAAACAAAGAAAAAATTTTTATATATTATTTAAATATAATCAATTATCGTTAAACAATATTAAATAAGATTAAGAAAATATATGTATGCTGCATGACTATAAAACAAAATAATACTGTAACTGTATTTTTCTTTTTTTTTGTTTTTGATCATAATTTTGATAATGTGTACCGGAGAGAATCAAATAAGAATACATAAGATTATTGTTGAATATAATTTAAATCATTAGTAGAAGATTAAATTAAAACGACGTACGATTTTCTTCAATATCCTTAAAACAGAAATTTTTATTTATTTTTTCTATTGTTTAGTTTTAGATAAAAATCAATTTACTAATGTTGATTGATAATCAGGTATATAACGAAAATAATAATTTTTCCATAATTTAATTTGATATAAAGTATTTATTTGTAAAATTTGTTCAGACTTTCCATTATAATTAGAATTTAAATATGTTTGACGATCATTTAATATAGGTGTCCATACAGACATTGTATAATCTGATATTTTCATATCAGTACGGACTTTTTCAGAATTTAGTAAAAATGTACCATATTGACATGAATATAAATAATCAGCTATTCTTAATAAGAATTTTTCATTAAATTCAAAAGCAGTTTCAAACTAAAAGATAAAATAAAAGATTTTTATTTAATTCATAGACATATATTCAGATTTGTGAAAAAAAAAGTAAACTTCCAAAATTTTACCAAAATCTATTATGAAACAAAAATAAATTAACCAGAAATTACTCAACCATTACAAAGCTATTTTGAGAAAGTACCAAATAAACTATATAAACATCATTAGGAAACTTGTGAAAATACCAAAACACAAAAAAAAAGAAGAATCTTGGTCCAACATCGACGTATTCTGAGAAATTTCGGTAAATACAGGAATCACTAGTTTTTTTTCCAAATATACATATAAATGAAGTATCCTATAAAAAAGAAGACCATATTGTCTAAAATATTAGTAATTACTAAGAGATTTTGAAAACTGCTAGTAAATTTCAGTGAAAACAGGAATTGCGAAATAAGTCTTTTTATCTACATGTCAATAAACTTTATTATTGAGAAGATGGCGCTACCTTATGAAGTATGAGTCCTTGTTGTCCGCAGAAGAATGCATTGCTGGTTTCGCAATAATTAATGAAATCCAGTTTATGCTCTGCATGATATTTCTTTCGTGATACACTGCTTGTAGAAATTTCTTCTTTTGTGGATTAGTCATTATAGAAATTATTCGGAATTTGCTCAGTGGTATACGAGGCAGTTTTAAAAACGATTTCGATTGCTTTAAAGAAAATTATGGTAACGACCGAACTATCTTGTTGATACGGTTTTTTTTGTGAGAGTAAGTTTCTGAAAGTGGATTTTTCATAAGAGAAATTTACTTTGTTTTTTTTTGGAAATCTGGATACTGAATGTTTGTAGATGTGTACTAAGTTTCTCAACGCTTGTTATTAAAAACTTGTTTACCTGTTGTAATAATTGATATGTGCAATCAAGAAATTGAAGAAAAACAGGTGATCGTTCCGAATAAATTTTATTTCCAAAACCAATACGCTAATTAGAAAAATATTATAAAAATTGTGTTTTTCTGAATTATATTTTAATTTATACTTACTAAAAAGAATTTATGACCAAAACTAAGCCATTCTTTTTCTATTAAAATCATATAACCATCTAGTGTTCGATAATATGGATCGAGCATTAGCATTGCTAATGAAGTCAGCTATATATTAAAAATGAAATAAAATATTAGTAAACGTCTTTTTTTTTTTATTTACCTGTGATGTTCGATCCCATCCATCTGAACAATGTACTAATACTGAACGTTTATCATTACGAACTAAAGAAACTAATCGATTTACAGATGTTAAAATTGCCTTAAAAACAAAAAACGAAACATTGTTTTTTCTCTAATAACAATTTCATATTAAGTCTACATACTCGAATATGAAATAACCAATTTAAATTGTCTAAATCATTTAACCATGTTTTATCTTCTTGTAATCCTTGTCGTATAGTTAAATGTAATTTATGAAGACTATCAAAAAAAAAATCAAAGCAAATTTTCCTTTTCTTTTAATTATTTTCTCTAACCTTTCTCTCATAACGTGAATATTTTGTATATTTTGAAACTCAAGTTCACAATCTGGATAATCTTCATATCCACCACCATTAGCTTTATTAGCTATTGCATTTACTTTTGGACGTGCATCAAGAATAACTAATTTTGAACCTTGATTTACATTTGTATTTGCTATTTCACGTAAATAATCAACATCATCTTGACATTTACGATTAAGACCAGTTAATGGTTGACTTGATCGAGTTATTGTCACATAAGTTTGACGACAATACCAACTAAGAACCTGTTAAAATAAATTTTTAAATTATAGAAAAAAAAAGAGAATTTTATTTTTTTGAATATACTGGAATGCGATTTCGACTACGAAAATTAGCAACAGATTGTAATCTAGATATATCAAAATTGGATGGCAGAACAAGAGTATCTGGATACGTATCACAAAATGTATAATTTTGATTGATTTCATTATTTATTATCCAATGTGCATCACCATTTAGTTGAATACCCTGAAGAAAAATGTTTAAATTTGACAAAAAAAAACATTTTTTTTTTAAACAACTAACCATTCTTGTATAATCTTTTACTTTATTATACAATTTCCAGCCTTCATCGATCTTATCTGGACACATTTTCTTCTTATAATTCCAAGCAAAGAAAGACTAAAACGAGAAAAAAAACCTATTAAGAATACTGATCTATTTTCTCTTTAGAATAATTATTCCTTTGAGATTCGTAGTATACGAAAATTCATAAAATCTTCAATTCAAACATTCGAATTGGATATATGACTAGAAAACCTTTTTTTCATTGATGACGATTATAAATAAGTTTGTTCACTGGATAAACAACTATGTCATAGAACCAGGGTTCTCGAGTAGAAAGATTTTTTCTCTCCCCAAATGTTCGACTTTTCGCCAATTTTTTACAGTTTCATGATAACTTTAGGTAGAAATCGGATTTTGAAACATCATTTGTCTTTCTCTGGCAGAAATTTGAATAAAAATAAATAGATAATGTCGTTTCCAGGTGAATAGGGTCGGGAAAGGGACAGTCTGGTAGCACGTCGTCTGTTGTACAAAGGGCAACAACACAGTGAGTTGCGTTCTTCACCTCTTCCCATAAAAAGTATTACCAACTCCGCATAGAACAGCGAAGAAAATGTTCTTTTAATTGTCTCATGACTATAGATTTGTGGAATCAAAGTTTTAAAGTTTGCCAGAACTACGAGAAAAAAGTTGTCTCAATCGAAACAAAAGATTATAGTTAAATATTATATGGTTTTAAGTTTCATGAAATGCATTAATCCTTCTTACAATCAAAACCTCAATATAAAATTCTGTAAGTTAATTCTTTCTTAAATATTTTGTTTGATAATTAAACCTTAGTAAAAAAGAAAACAATAGAATTCTACAAAAAAAAGTAAACTCCTGGATCTGAATAAAGCGAAGACTCTATTCTTTGACTTCTAAAGGCGATACTATTCTGTAGGATTTATTTATAATAGAAAATAAATTTTTCTTACACTAAAAAATGCTAATGGTTTTGTAATATCTTCTTTACAAATTGAAAATGGAAAAATCAAACGATTTAAATTATCCAATAAATTACGTCGTTGATTTTGTTCTTTAGTATTACCAAAAAAGAAATGCCGAAGATCCTAATAGAAAAAACAAATTAACAATTCTTTTTTCCTTAGTAAAATAATTCTTGTTTTGTTTGTTTTTTACTTTACAAATAATTTCAATTCCATATGCATAACTATCACTTATATTACTACGTGTTTGTCCACCGATTTTTTCTATCTGACTGATCATTCCTAATGGTACATCAACAAGAATCTTCAATGAGAAAATAAAAAATAAATATATCAAAAAGAAAAATAATAATCTTTTATCATACTTGATCAGATTCTGATGATTTTGTAACAAATAATAAACGATATTTAGTTAGAATTAATTCACCTTGATGTGTTACTTTGTGTTTATGACTACGATAAGTCATATCTAATAGAAATAATGTTTTAACTTTAACATTAAAACTTTGATTTTATTTTTTTTTTTTTACATTCTTTTAATTTCACATCTTCTTCACCAGGTAAAAAATCTATCGGTAATGATAATTCCTTTGTATGTGCAACAGTTGGGTGTTGTTCTGGAATTGACACTGCTGTAGTTGAGCCTATTTGCCCGTGTAAAAAACTCTAAAGAAACACGCACATAATTCAGCTATTTCAAATAGTGAAATCAATCATAGTAGAGAGCAGCGAACGAATACAAAAAAAAACATTTTTTATACGATCATATATATACATATATATATATAATACACTTACAAAAGTTAGAGGTAATAAATCGAGTACCTATAATGAATGATAAATATGAGATTTATATTAAAAAGAATTTTTTTTATTTAAAACTTACGCTTATAGCTGATGAAGCATTATAATATGGTGATGAAGCAATATATTCACTTGATGACAACATTGATGAACTATCATCTTTAGCACCAAAACTCATTTGACCAGCACCATGAGATGTTGGTTTAGAATGAATAACTTTTGATATTGGATTTAATGAAATATCTTCATGACTATTTGAACGTTTTGGTTTGTTCATTGTATTATGACGAGCATCACGAGCCATATGGCAATATTTCTTCTAGTTTCTATTTTTTTTTGTATAACTATAATAAATAGATCGAAGATAGTTAAGAATATAAGTGAAAATAAAATATAAATAAGTAGATGTGTAATATATGGAGAGAAATATCGTTGAAAATGGATGATAACAATTATTGAGAACAATTTGTTTTTTTTTCAAACAAGAGTTAAGAAAATTATTCTATTTTTTAAAATGAAAATTTTTTTAGATTTTATTAAATAAAAAAAAATATTTGAAAAAGTTGTTTTCTGTTTAATTTTATTTGTTTAAAAAGATGTCACTAATAAACGGAATACGAAAAGTGTATGAGATTTTTATTGAGTCTACCAAAGGCAATATTATCTTTCAAACATAATTATTAATTCTAAATGAAGCATCAACTTGATAATATATTGAGAAAAAGTCAATTTCCATCAAAAAAATGAATATTGAGATAAATGCATCGGAAGATAATTCCGAAGCCTGATCTTTCATAGACAGTATGACTTTTTGTTTGACATCTAGTTTATGATGATTTTCGTTACCTTCTGCTTGAAAAATGTTTGTTTTTTTTTTCATAAAAGATGAGAAATCTTTTTCGCTTTTTCCTTTATTTATGCTTTTTTGATTGCACATGGCAAAGTTCTCGATGAGTCTTCGTTTATTATATTTAATTTATTTTGTTTGAAAAAGTATGTGAAGATGTAGGACATGATAGAGTTCCTTTTTTTTTAATTAAGTGCTGTTACTATTGTATAAAAGAGTATTTGTATAATTAGAGCTCCATTTTTTGAGAGTTTTTCGAGATACTGAACTTTTCATTTCTTTTCTCCTCTTAAAAAAAAGAGCTTTGCCAGGCACTGCTTCTTAGTATACACTCTCAGAAGCAAAAAGAAAGTCAATATATAGAATAAAGATCTACAGAGAATTTTGGATTGTTAAATGAGCTATTTTTGACTCTTATTTGTTGAATATCTTTCGAAAACAACATGGTACATAGCTGAAAATTTTAGCATAGCTTCTTCACTGCAGTTCCAATGTATCTTAAAAATTTCATGCGAGTTGAATGTATCTGACTCAGGATAGATTTTTGAGGAAGTAGTCTTATACATATAGTTTCTTCTTCTTTTTTTTTTTGAATTTATTTAACAAAAAAAAATTGACCAGTTAATAATGAGAAGTATTGTTTTATTTATCGAAATCTCAATCGAAACATTGGTTGTTGCTGAATAAATCTTGGTGATCGCATTGGTATAAAGTTTCGTTGTCTACGACATCTATCAACCATCATAAAATTAGGATTCATCAACATTCGAAATGATGGTCTAGCTGAAAATAATATTGGAGTTGTTGTTGGATGCTGTTGGTGTACACGTTCACGAGGTGTTCGACGAAATTGAACTTTTTTCTTAAAAACTTTATCGATATCATTTGCCGATGACGATCGATAGAGCTTTGGTACTGCCTTATGATCTTTGTGTAAGCGATGAGAAGAAAGTGATGATGATAATGACGATGATGATGAGAAACTGTTATGACGAGATGATGATGGAACAGATCGATGATGATGATGATGATGATGAGGAAGAATATTGTATCCAGCTTTCGTACGAGTTTTATCTACTGCTTTGAAAAAACTCTCTGGTAATTCATATTTAAATGTATCAGTAGATGATTTAGATTGATTATTTTCATTGTCTTTAATGAATTTGAATGTTGAATTTAATAAACGATGTATAAAATTAGATTTTTGTTCGTTACTTTTCTTCATATTCAACATCGTCGTTGTGACCGACTTTATTTTACCCGATATTAATATCACTATCTCTCTCTCTCGTTGATATTCTCATTTACTCTTTCTTCTCATCTTTTTTCTTCTTGTCTTCAATAGTTAGATATACACACTATCAGAGATGTGAAGTAACCAAATAAATATTACTAAAGGCGAGAGTAATGGTTACACATCCGGTTGATCATACATCTTTTTCTTCGTTACATTCATCCGTAATATATAATCGATGAAGCACGAATCAAATCGAACATTATTATATCAACCAGACAGTTTATCATGATTTTATACAACAACGTCTATATAGCAATAAATCATTAATCAAAAAAGAAAAAAGCTTTTATTCAAGAGAAAAGAATAGCTATCAAGTCGACATTGAAATAAAAAACCTTGTTATATAAAAGAAGAAAAATACGTTTGATACGAATATGTACGTCTGGGTTTTATTATTTATATGTATGATAAGCACCATTGCTCAAGATTTAAATACATTTGGTATTGGTCTATCTAATCATTGGTTGTATCCAACAGAGGTATTTATTTTCAAAATAAAAATATCAATCTATTACTAAGATTATTTTTTGATTTTATCAAGAAAAAAAGAAACTTTCAAGGTTTATTAAGTTTTCAAAACAACATTTCTTTTATTTATAGACTGAGCTCTTTAATTATACCCTGTCACAAGGTTCAACTTTTGGGGTTCTTACTCATTTTTGGACAACTGGTGATCCAGGTAAGTTTTTCAATGATATTTTTTTAAATAGATCATTTTCATGGTTTGTTTTAAAGCAATTGATGAATCTATTTTTTCATATTATATCGATGGAGAACATGTACCATCAATACAATTTGTAACCTATATGTTAGTTGGAGCTGGTTTTAATGATCAAACAACACCATGGGGAACTAAATGGATTGGTAAAGAAGCAAAAAATGGTGGTTGGTATAATAATTTGTAAGTTTATATTTCTTATTTTCAATTAGAATTTAAATTTGATTGATAGTCGAGTACCATTTCAAAAATCTATACGAATTACTGGTAAATTACCATTAACAAAAACTAATCGAAAAATGATTTGGATTATTTTACGTGGTACAGAAAATTTACCAACAAATTTTCATGGTTTTCAACTTCCATGGAATGCTCGTTTAATTTTACATAAAATTGAAAATCAAACTTATAATCCATTATCATGGGTACCTCTTGTTGATATATCTAGTGGTCAAGGTCTACTTTTTTCACATACATTAGCTGTTATTAGTGGTAATCTAAATTTTCTTGAAGGTTGTTATCATGCTTATACAAAATATGAACAAAATTTTCCAGGTTTAATTGTTTCAACAGGTACAGAAGATTATTTTGATAGTGCTTTTTATTTTAATGCTGGACAATATCATAATGAAATATCTGGTTATACACATTATAAAGAATTATCAAATAATATATATGAATGGTCAGCTTATCGTTTACATGATTTAGATCCAATATTTTTTACGAATGGTTTTCGATTTCAATGGAGAAATGGTGATGTTATTGATGATGATGGATTTAAATGTATTATTAATCAAGGTGGACATATTGTTGGAGCACCGACTCAATCAATTGTAACATCATATACATGGATTTATATATGGTAAAATTCGAATCATTTTCTTTTTTTTTTATATAATTATAACTATTATTTTGATTATGTCATAATAAAATTTAGAATTTAAAAAAAATTTTATAATTAAAGAATGAAATTAATTATTATAGAAAAAAAATGATTTTTTATTATATGAAGTAATAATTTTGTTAAATTTAAAAAAAAACTTTACTAAAAAATAAGCGCTCCTGGGTGGGCTCGAACCACCAGCCTTCCGGTTAACAGCCGAACGCGCTAACCAATTGCGCCACAAGAGCACATACAACTATGGTTTCATTTTTTATATCAATCATACCTTCATTTAACTTGCTAACAAAGATATCAATATTACTGAAATATATAATTAATTTAAGATTTAGATAAGAAAATTTTCATTTTTTAAATTTATTGTAAATATCGAACCGGGTAAGAATGTTAATGCATAAATAGAAAGAACACATAAGGATGAAGCAATGATAAAATATATGATAATAATAGTACAATACAAACAGACTTACAATGCTCTATCACAGCTAAAAGGATATTTCAAATGCGAACAAAGAGAAAATAAATCGAGTTGCTACAAAGAGATTCGTATTTCGCCGCTGAGAAAGAATGAACGAAAGCAAAAAGAAAAAAAAAAGACATTTTGGAAGCCAAAGCAAAAACAAGACTACGCTCCTGGGTGGGCTCGAACCACCAGCCTTCCGGTTAACAGCCGAACGCGCTAACCAATTGCGCCACAAGAGCACATCAGTTTAACTTGTTGAATTGATATTGTCTCTGGGTGATTGTACAATATGATCTTCAAATGAATCCATGCCTTCAATAGGTAGTTCAGATTCTTCTTGAAGACGAGCAAACTTACCAAAACCACCTTGTACTGTATGTTCAATACGATAATATTTTTTACGACGCACAAGTATAAGTAATCCAAGAAATATAGTGCCAAAAAGCACGACAAATAATAAAATAAAACCAATCCAACGTGTTTTTGGTGTTTGACGAGTACCATTAGTTTGATTATTTGATGACGAGTTCCCCTAAAAAAATGAAAGGAAAAATACATAGAAGAAAAGAACTATATAAATTTCTTTTTATGATATTAGCTGCTACAAATAATCGTTTTTTTTTTCATTTCATATTCGAATATTTTTTTTTACTATTATACCAATTGTTAAGGAGTGTCTTCGAACATAAGACACTATTAGATCAACAATGAAGTAATATCTCAGAATTTCCTGAGTTTTCTTTATATGTTGTGTATGGTAATGAGTTTCGTAACTTCCGCAATTTCTACCTCAATGTGATCATTTTTTTAAAGACTGTTATTTAAAATACTGATGAATTTTCTGCGAAAAAATTACTTTTGTCTTTCGAAATGAGGAAATTTTGACATCGTGCTCTTCTAATCATAATTATTAATGATTTGTACTACCACATAAGAAATTTTCTTTAATTAAATATAAAATATCTAGACACCCTAAATAGAGCTCTATTTTATCCTTTATGATATTTATTGTTAGCAAAATGTTAGTCGAGTACGTTTTGTGCGCCAACAATGGAATGTCTTAATATTTTTCTCAATAGTAGAGCTCGAAAAGTTCTATTGCGTAATATATCTAATAGTTTTGGCTCATGTAAAAAATCAATCACTTTCAATCAAAATTCATCATTTTTCCTATTATTCATCAGATATGTTTAAAGGTACCGTCGTATTTTTTCATAAATTATATTTTCTCGATTGCTTAAAATTTTTTTGTGTAGCTACTCTTTTTTATTGTGAGTGACTTGATAATATGTAATTATAAGGTCAGATCTTCGATATTTATAGTGTTAACAGAAAAGATGATACACATTCAGACAGAGGCAACTTCGATAGAAAATAGCATTAAGAAAAAAAGTGGATGTATTTCCAGATTTTGCCTGAGAAAAGTTAACTTTTACCCGAAGTAAACCTTTTATTCGCCATCAGCATTCAAAATTACACCAAAAAAACATATTTTTTCATCTTGAAATATTTCTTATGAAAATTTCACTATCTTTCTACTCAACTATTTATCACAAAAGTTTTATTCTGTACTCCCAGTACGTATAAAATTTCGATCGGAAATATTTTTTCTGGTGTAATTTTGTATGCTAACTGCCAATATGAGGTTTATTTCTGATAAAAGTCAATTTGTCGGAATCAAAATCTAGAAATACTTTTTTTTTTAAATATTATTTTCTATGAAAACTTTCTCTTAATATGTATCATCTTTTTTTCTTCACACTAAAAATATAGAAGATCTGATTTAATAATTTTGTATTATCTCGCCATCCACAACAAAAAAAAAGTAGCTACACAAGGAAACTTTAAGCAGTCGAAAAAATATAATTTATGAAAAATACGATGGTATCTTTAAACATATCTTATGAGTGATAGAAAAAGACGATTCTTGATTGAAAGTGATCGATTTTTCGCATGAATCAAAATTGTTAAATACATTAGACGACAGAACTTATTGAGTTTGATCACTTGTGAAAATATCATGACATTCTGTTGTTGTAGTATAAATTGTTCTCAACTAACATTTTGCTAACAAAATGTCGAAAGAGTACGATAGGATTCTGTTCGATGTATTAATATATTTTACATTTAATTAAAGAAAATTTCTGAAATTTCTTATATAGTAGTAGAAATCACTAATAATTATGATTAGAAGAGCACAATGTCAAAATTTCCTCATTTCGAAAGGCAAAAGTAATTTTTTTCGAAAAAAATTCATCAACATTTCAAATAATAGTCTTAGAAAAAATGATCACATTGAGATAGAAATTATGAAAGTTACTAAATTCACTATCATCTGCAACATGTCAAAAAAAGAACTCAGAAAATTTTGAGATATTATTCTATCGTCAATGTCTAAGTCTCTCAAATACTTACTCGTAAAAAACTACTATCTTTTTTTGTAATAAATTTCGTATCACGACTAGCTGTTGTACATGTTGTACGAAAATGAAGTGATCGTGGTCGTTCTGGATGAGTACAAGTACCATTTGTACACGTTTCACGTGTTCGACATTGACTATTATTTGAACATGTTTCACCTGTACCATTATATGGTACATTAATAAATATGTAAACATCAGTTGCATGAATATCTCCATTAAGTAAAGCTCGAAAAAGGGATTCTGGAGTACGAAAAAATTTTCGTTCAGAACTTAATTCTTTACCATAAATAATTTCATCTGGTCCCTTTAATTCACCAAGTTTTTTAACAATAGCGTCAAGTAATGCAGGATAAAAACCAGTAGGTGACTTATCATTATAATTTCCATCGTGTACACCGAAATCCTTTGGTCCTAAACCACCAATTATAAGTTTTGATTTATTAAATAATATATGACGTAAATAACCCGTTGTATTATCACGATTAGGAACAGGTAATGGTGTTTCTTGAAGACATGTCTCAACTCGAATTAAATTTGTTCGATTATTCAGTGTGAGTGATGTTTCATGCGTACCGTCTCTTTGTACATCAGCTATAGCGGCATTAAGTGCATCAAATAGATCAGTACTTGACTCATTTTTCGATACATAAGGTGCTAATGTAGGATCATATTCAGGTGCAAGAAGCATTGCTTGTGGTGAAACCAGTAATGATGAAAATACATGATAGTTTGGTGCTATGTCTTCAGCTAATATACCAGTTGAAACACCGGCTAGAAGAAGAAAAGATTTATTCAATGTCATGAATTAGATTATGAAAAAATATATATTACATACCAATAATTGTTTCATTCTCAATAGCTTTTAACATCTCGGTTTTATTTTCAAAAAGTACCCTTTCTACATTATTTAGTAGATATCGTTTGATAACTTCAAAATTAGCCTGTGAAAGAAATCCAACTGAATACTTTTTTAATGGAGACTGTTTAAGTAGAGTAAAAAATTCATCAAGATTTGTTATATCACATTGAATGATTGACAATGCAAATAAAATAATTGATAATGATAAATATATTCTATGCATATTGAAATAATCTAAAAAGAATCAAATATAAGTTATTAACAAAGACGTTTGTTTACCACGAAACAAAAAAAGAAAACGAATAAATATGTATGTAAAACAATATTAATTAATGACAACAAAAGCTTTACAGACGAAAAAAAAATAATAATAATCATAATTTATCTTGTCTTTTTTCCTTTTTCTAATTACGAAATAGAATTTTTCAATAATGAGATTAATAAACAAAAAAACATAATAATTTTTATCTAGATAAAATTCCAACGAAAATAATAAATAATAAAACTAATACAACAACACCAATCAATATTAATTTAAATCTTAAACCACGTTGTTTATGTTCAACAGCTTTAGTTAAATGTTTATTTCCTTGTTCAATTTGAACAGCAGTATTCTCAATATTATATTCAATTTGATCAAGAATTGTTCCCTAAAATATTATTTTAATTCATAGAAAAAAAAAATCTAACAAGAGAACATTTCTCAGTGTCAAACTCGCTTTTGTCTCAGGACTATGTGCGCCATATAGGTTTTAATGAACTGTGAATATTCTGACAAGAATTCAGGATAATAGCTTATTACTCTTGAGATACTGTATTTTTTAGCAAAATGCCGTAATCTTCCTTAGAAAAACTGAGTTTCAAATTTCGACTTGAAACTTTCCATAGAGACAGTTCTTAATGAAAATAGCTTATTGTGAAAGTTTCAGATTTTTCGATTGCGCCTATTTTGAAATAAGAATATCGAAACGCGCTGTTTTATATAAACGGCGTGGAAAAAACATGTTTTTACCATAGCCGTATCTAAGAATAGAAACAATCAAAAGATCTGAAACTTTTATAATAAACTATTCTCATTAAGACTTGTCTCTATGCAAAGTTTCAAGTCGAAATCTGAAACACAATTTTCCTGACCGGGATTTCGGCATTCTGCTAAAAACTACAGTATTTCAGCAATAATTATCTATTAATCTGAACTCTTTTCAAAATATTCATAGCTCATTAGAACATACACCATGCACATAGTCTTGATTTTACACTTAGAAATATGCTCTTGTAAATCTTACTTGATTAGAAATAAGTGCTGCTATATCACGAAATATTTCATTAACATCTTCAATGGATTTTAATACTTCACGAATTTCTTTATCACGTTTTTCTAAAAATTCAACATTTTGTGATGTTAATTGTAATTGATCTTCGGAAGTTAACTAAATGCAATAAAATATTAAATAAATAAATAAAAACATTATTATTTTATTATTATTTTTTTACAGATATCTGATCGAAATTTTTATCAGGATCATTCTGATCACCAAATGGATTCGAATGCATATCGATTTCAAGATCAGGCATAATACGATTGAAATTCTCTTTTCGAGATTTCAATTCTAAAAAATAAGAATAAGAACAAGATACAATTTATATATAAAAATGAGATAAAAATTCTTCTCCATATATGTAGAATCTCTATTGCAAAAGTCTTTAGACGAAATTTATTTTTCATTGAAAGTCAAATAAATGTTTCTTCTTGATATTTCTTTTTCTGTTTCTATTGCTATATTTCTGCTTTTTTTTTCAAACATAGTAAGAAAATGCGAAACGCATTTCAACTTACGGTATGTTTTTCTTGAATAACAATCAAGATTAAACCGAAAAACCAGTAACATTTTTGTTTTCTAGAATATGCAATGTGAATTTTCTTTTTGTGCTAATACATAAACGTTTGATTAAAGCTAAGATAGTTCGCTGTTTCTATTCATGCAAAGCTCTGCCTATAGAGTTTTCTATCTAATGGGTTCTATAATAAAATTTCATATACATATACTATGATGGCAAGGTTTATACAAAACTAGAACGCGACAGTTTCCAGATTCTAGAGTTTTCTACGGTCTTTTCTTAGAAATTTGAAAGTATCACATTACCGACAAAAGTCGATTTTTCATAAAATTTCGTATTTTTATGGTTTTTGTAATGCTTTTAACTTTTTAAGAGAAAGGTTCTAGAACATACGGCAACCCCTCATTCTATTCGAAATTATGTGTTCTTTAAAATGATATTGTTAAAAAATAACTTAAACAAAGTGTTCTGGCACCTGAAAAATAAAATGTCTGGTTTTTTTTTAGAAGTCTTGTCATCATATTTCATCTATGAAATCTTGCTATAGAATGCATTAGATAGGAAAACTCTATTGACTATTAAAATTATTATCGAAACTTGAGCTGACTGTTTAACATTATAGAAAAAACGTTATAGTTAAACTTTGTTCCACTATCTTATCTATATATTGAACTAAAGAATAATTCTACCAAATCACTCTTATGAACGTGTAATATTTCCATTTCAAATCTTTATTATTAATATCTATTATGATTGATAAATATAACAAACATACATATCATTTCAACTAAAACGTTCTTTAGAAATATCATCACAGTATTAGTGATTATCAGTTTAAATCAATAACTATAAACTGTCACTATGAACTAGTATCGTCGCTGGAGGATACAATTGATTGATTAAATCAAAAACCAAAATGTGGCATTACATATGAAGTGGATGAGTACTATGACCAATGATTATGAGTCTTTTTTTATCATTATCTAGATGTTGATGTATACTGTAGTAAAAAATATCAAGGGAAGAAAATTCATTTGACTTTCATTGTATAGTAGTTATGAATGAAAATTAAAGAAAATTAATTAAAATCAGGATTGTATGTTTTTTTCTGGATATTTGTTTAGAATTTTTGTCTGGTTTACAGTTAGTTAATTGTGAGTCATCTTTTTTCAATAGCGGAAAATAGCGGCTGTAAAAGCAAAATTGGAATTTCTTTTTTTCTATTTAATCTGTAGCTTATTTTAATTGGATTTTTTGCGGTAATTTTAATTCTATAGCATGCCTCTATAAAAATTACTTTTCATGGAGAACTGCATTTGCCAATTTTTTTCAAAATTCGTTCATTAAAGTGCAATAGACTTTTCAAATTTTTCCTACAAGTTATAAAACAAAATTAGATTAGATAGTTTATACAATTAAACTTTGGAATATTAAAAAATATCTCATATTTTTTCAAAAATTTCAATTACAATGTCAAATTCGCGAAAAGAAAATTTTGTACAGACATTTTATCTCTATCTATTCAATGGGTTGTTTGCAATAAATCAATTTTCAGTTAGATATAAAATTTTTAACATAAATTTACAATTGCAATCCGAACAAACCATTTCTTTTTATTAGTTGTTTTCAAATGATCGAAAAACGAACAAATATTTTATTTCGAAACTTTTTGAATAAGGATTATATGCAACATATTCTCAATATACTGTTTAAGAATACCTTCGAACTTTTTTGACCATTTCTGATTCTCAACGACGGTACAGCCGATCAAGCTGAAATTGTTACATCAAAAATAAAGAGACATGTATTCGAGGAAAAAGAATTTTGAACTGGATTTCTACGGTTTTTTCCGGGAAATCCTGATTGCTTACAATGCCCATCTAACTTTGTTCGATCCGGCTGAAATTTTTAGTAGTGATACTTGGAGATATTCTCCAAAGGTAAAATCAGTGGTTTTCATTTTCAACTGTCCTACCAGACTTTACAGAATTCTGAAAACCAAAAGCCCGATTTTGGTACCAGAGCTTTACGTATTTCTCTTATAGAGACAAAAAGAAAGTGATATTTTTGTAAAAGCTTAAACTTACCTTTGATATACAATCTTAGGTATCTTCAAAAACATTTCCAGTACAATCAGATAGAGTTTGATGGGACTCGTAATGTATCAGGATGCGACCTTATGGAAACTAGAGTTTCTCGGAAAAAAAAGCGCAAAAATCTATTTAAAAATTTTTCTTCTCGAATATGTATCTCCTTATTTTTGATGTAAAAATTTCAACTTGATTGTTTGTACTATCTCCGAGAACCAAAAACTGTACAAAAAAAAGCGGGGTACCGTAACTGCATTTGAACTACTAGATAATACCATCCACTTAATGGCGTTTTGTCTATGTTCAATGTTGCAAAAAAACAGATCTAATTTTTTTGTAATGCTAAAGTTTACATAGACCCATCAAGAACGTTTTCTTACAGAGTAGAATTCGAACAATAAGTGATATATCAAATTAAAGCTTATTGAAATCGAAACTTTTGTATACAAATCAGAATATCTAAAATTATTAAAAATTTCTAATCTGTAGTTCTGTTTTTTTTTCGGATTTACTATTAACACTAACTAAGTCTGTTATCATTGATATGTTTCATAGAATTGTAGACGTTCGCTTTTCAAAAATATTCTTATTGTGAAGAAAATACTTACTATGAAGATAAGTCGATTGACATTTACGAAATTTAATAGTTAAATCTTGTAAAGCACTTGCTGTAGCTTGAACAACATTGGAAGCTAAACGTTTATCATAAACATTAACGTGTGGTTTATTTGCTTGACTTGAAAGTTGTTGAACAGATGTATGACATCCATTTAACATCTAATTGTAGAAAAAGAAAAAAAGAACGACTTATTCGAGATTATTAGAAGAAATATTTACGGCAGTAATATCTTTTGTAAGTGATTCGATTTCTTTTTCTTCACTTGAATTTTCATCAAAATCAGGTCTTGTCAAGTGTTTGTCATGTAATTGTTGTAATTTTTTCACTAGAAAAAAAAAAAAAAACTTTTTCTTTTTTGTTTTTCTGTACTTTTATATTTTATAAACTTACTTCGACTGCGTACTTGTTCAAGTTGTAATTGTATTCGACGTTGAGAATCCATCCTAAATTAATAAATTGAAAATAAAAATGATTTGACAAAAGAAAGATAATTACCATGATGGTGGAATGTTTTTTTCAAATTGTACAACTTCATCATCTTCATTTTGAATTAATGCCATTCGATCATCATTGGACTAAATAAATAATAGAAAATATTTTTATCGTTTACTTAGTTTTTTGTTTTTATTTAAATTTTATATTAAAAACAAAAGAAGTGGTGTCTATTCA